CAATCAACCCCAGGATGCCCCTAACGGGAGCAAGGAGAATTGTGTATCTCAAACCTCAACAAAGCCTAAGAAAGAAGGAAATACTAAAACTGAGGCAGAGGACCAATTTCCACTATAGATAGTTGGGCTTGTCTGACGACATCAGGCTCATGCTAAAGACTCTGCTGTCTCTCTCTCTCTCTCCAGTAAAACATACACACTCCTCTCTGGGGAGGGAATTAATCACTTCCTGTGACATCTGTCACCTCCCTACTTTTAAGATGTGGCCCCTCCTAGCAACTCCAGCCAACACATAGCGACACCAGCAGAAGTTAGGTGCACATTAAAAGGACATGCAACGTACCACTCGTTTCACTTTTCGGCAGAGACATCTTTGCCATCGTGGAGAAAACTAGGAGAAACTGAACGGAATGGGCACACAGATAAATTAAGGAAATCGCCGAGGAGAACCCAGCACCCCTACTGCTGGCAGGGGTCCCCTGGAGCCTGTGTGGGCAAGACTACCCTCCAGGCTCTCACACAGGAGAGTCTGAGACAGAGTCACAGGGACCTGCTCCCATCCCACCCCCTGCAGCCTGGGGCAGTCTCCTCAAGATGTCAAACCCCAAGAGAGGGCGGGGTGGGGGTGAAGAGCACACATCTGCCAGGGAGCAGGCTGCTGAGATGTAAAGCGAGCTGAAAACAGCACGCAGTGACAACAGAGACAGTATGTTACCGTTTATTCTGTGGAAAATACAACACAAGTACATGTCCACGTGTACATATATACATATGGAAAAGCACAGAGTACTCTAACCACTCAATGACATTAAGATGACCAGGTGCTGTACATGCATTAAAATAACTGCCGATAAAAAGCATTTCAAATTTAAAATAACACAGTGGAGAAGGCACAGCCTGATTCCAACTGTGTAGAATGTGCACACGCACATACATAAGTAAAAAGAAGACAGAGCTACCCGAGTCCAGGCTTCTGTTGCTATGGAGTTGGTTTAAAGCGCACTCAAACAATATAGGCAAATGGGGAAAGTATTTATATTTCAATATCTAAAAAACATACATAATTCATTTTCTTAAAGAAAAAAGCCTGGAGAATACCCACTGAACTAATGACAAAGGCTGACTGGTGAGCCTGGGGAGAGAACAGGCATAGGAAAGTGTCTCAATCCATTAGGACTGTCACAACAAATTACCACAGTCTGGATGGCATACAAACAACAGAAATTTCTTTTCACAGTTCTGCAGACCCAGATCAAAACTGGCAGATTCGGCGCCTGATGAGGGCTCCCTCCCTGGTTCACAGCCAGTGACTTCTCACTGTGTCCCCACAAGGTGGAAGGGAGCTCTCAGGGGCTCCTTTAAAGGGCACTAATCCCATTCACGAGGGTCCCACCTTCATGACGTGCTCACCTCCAGGAGGCCCACCTCCCAATACCCTGGAGATAAGGTTCAACATATGAATTTTGGGAAGACGCAGTCTATAACAGGAAGGCATTTTCACATATTTTTTTTATTTTATAACAAGATTTCTGTACTATATTGATGTAATACTGATATGACTAGGGAGAAAGACAAGAGCCTTTGGGGACACATACCTGACCCCCCCTTCCCCACCTTACCCTTCCACCCACCAGTAGAAAACACCTCTTTTAAACTGAAGGTGGAGGCTTCCCACCTACTGCCATCCTTAACTTCATAGAGAAGCAAAACTACAAAGACCATACAAATGTCAATATCTTTGCCATATCTGTCATCTAAATGTCAAAATGTCAACATCAATAGCTATCCAATGTCCCTTCTGTTTCTCCATAGGGCCATCCTTAGGGAGGGACACTAGGCTCGGGCTGGCCCAAGCCACATCCCCCATCACCTGGCCTCTTGCCAGCCTGTTCCCAGGCCAAGCAGGTTGCACCGTCCCCCCCACCCCAACCCCTGCCCCCTCCCCCTTTCATAAAGACACCATTTGGTAAATCCCTGGCAGTTCATTTTCCACTAATTGTCACTGCATGAGCCTTCTCTACTCTGCTCCCAGATAAATAAATAAAAACCAATACCCAGTTCGGGAAGACATTTGATGCATCGAAGTTAACAAAACCACAGCGGCTTCAAATGAACAGGCTGTGATGAGTAAGACCCTTTCCATGAGCTATATTTTGCTTCGGCTCCAAAAGGGGGACAAATACATCTGAAAGGCCAAATGAAGAGCAGAAGAGTCAGAAAAAAGAGTCCCTTGTTAACCATTTCCTTCCCACCACCCCAAGAGCCTTGCTGCCCTTTGGGTCCTGAATCTATAAAGATATTCAGGGCAAGCGGCTCTGAGGTTGGTGGGCAATGTGGCAGTGCAACCCCTGTTTGAATGGCTAAGGGAAAGGGCTCAAGTCAGGCAAGCATTCCTGCAGAATCCCTCCAGCCACACCTCCACCCTACTGGACTTCCTCGCTGCTCATTTCTCCAGGGAAGTAACGCAGAGACTGACTCGCTCGCTCTCACCCATCACACTCCATGCACTGCCCCAGAGGACAGAAAGGAGGTCCTGGGGTTTTCTGCAGGCAGTCCCTCCTTTATCCTGGGGCCCCTTCGTCAGGGCTCCAGCCAAAGCCTTCTGCTCTCACAATTTCCTCCTGTCCGTGGGCCATCTGCTGAACAGCAGGGTTTTATCATAAGGTGGAAAGAACCAGAAATTGAAATGATCTCAAGCTGAATTTGCCCACAGAACTCCCCACAGCCTCCAAAGCCATTGCCTCATAAACTCCCAGAAGAGTGGCCATCGTGAAACCAAATTCCAGCCCCCAGAAGACTACCTTCCCATGGGTGCTCAATCAGCGCTGGACAACCACACAGACTCAAGATCAGAACCCACAACTCAGGCTCCACGAAGCTCCTCATAGATCCAGGCCGCTGCCCTGAGGGGAAACCTTTCCTCTGCCTCAGAGTGATGGTGGACAGACTGTTCACATAGCCTCCTCTTCAACTACAACATTTGTATTCAGTGACCGTAGCAATTATAAATAATTCTTATCTATTTATAAGGCCCTCTAAGACAAATTCCCCTTCTCGTATCAACAGCATGAATTAATTTCTTTTCAAATGGCCTACAATAGAGATTTACTGTCAGGATGATCTTTCTGCCAATTAGCAGGGTTCTGGGCATTAACAGTTACTTCGCCCTTTTGGACCCTTTCATTCTCTCTTCAGATGTTCCCCCACCATTCCCAAGCCATTCCTAATTCTCTTTATAGTCTGTCCAATACTCTCCCCTGGGATCATCTTCATATTCAAAGCATACATCAGAATAAGGATGAAACGAAATGGTTCAAGAGAAAGGCGCTGCTGTACAGAACAAATTGCCCAGCAACTCTTTACACAGCCCAGAGAAAGCCCCTACACTCAGATGGCTGATCAAATACACCTGCCCCCAGCAGGCCCCCAGTACCAGTGAGTGGTGACCCCTCGTGACTGCAAAGAGCTCTCTGCAAGAAGACGGTTCTGGAAGCCCAACGGGGCCCAGGTGGGAAGGCAGAATGAGACCCAGCAGGGGCTTGAAGAGCCGCTGAGCCAGCCCCTGCCTGCTGGTTGTGAGTTAAGGCCAAGGACCCACAAGATCCTGCCAAGAGCAAGTTCACACATTCCCCCGGGGGGGATTTGAGAGCACAGCACAGCAGCCTACATTGAGGACTGCTAACGCTATTAGCACACAGATATATTTGTCAGGAAGGAAGCCCAGGGTCCAGAAGGCAGAAACTGACAGCCATTCAAGCTTTTGATGGAAAAAAAAATATGGTTTTCCCTCCAAGACCATATCATGGCTCCCCAACCAACAATCACATCCCGAGAATAGTCCCGAGAATGGTCCTTCTATGACACGAGTAATCAGTTTCTCGTCAGCCCCAGGGCCAAGTTCCAGGAATCCTTTCCTCTCTTTCTCCAGTTGGGAATTTCAGGCAAGAAAGAAGGCAGGTAGGCAGGGATAAGAACATCAGCCTCCCTCCATGGGTGCTTGTCCAGCTGAGTCCAGTGAGCCTGACCCAATCCTTGATCACCCTGATCCAACAGAATAAATGGACTTTGACCCCCATTGTCCCTCACAGGGTCTCTCCTGTGCCTCTTCCCTCTCTGGGACAGCAGAGAATTCCAGCACCAGCTGAGGTGTCACAGTGGCTCCTGCTCCCTCTAGGACTTGTCGAGACACAGTGTCTGACAGGCTGCCTGTGCCTGCACTGGGTTTCTTATCGACATCGATTTCTCTCTACTGATGGCAGCGCACGCAGACAACCCTGTTATAGCTACTAATGGCCTTCGGTTATAATCTCACAGCCTGGCCTTGACTCTCTCTCTCTATGGATACAGCCAGGCTTCCAGCTACAGTTCTTACCGTGCTTCTCTGCACATGCGCATTCCCCAAACCCGACCCACCAGGCCTACTCTGGTGCCTTGTCAGATTTTTTTATTTTGACTTTGCAGCCACTAAAGGGAGTTATCCTCAAGTTATAGGAAGGAGAAGTGGAACCAAGGGAGACACACCCAGTGGATGGCAGAAGCAAGCTCTGCCCAGAGCCCTGCTGCCCAGGCTCACTCCCTCATCCTCTTGTAACAAGCCCTTGATGTGGATGTGATGTGGATATGACGCTTTGTCAATGGTCTTGGACCATCATTGGGTGTGTCGTCATCTCCCAGGTGGCATCTCAAGTTCTTTACAGGTCAGGACCATGATCACGGTCTCTCACTTCTCCCAGTTCCTAGGTCCATTCATGTACACAGAGCCACACAGCGGGTTGTCAACGGTATTCTCTGCTTACAATGAAGCCTGACATTTAAAATCTGAACTTAGCAAAATGTAACCAAGGGGATGATTAGTCATATTACCAAGAGCTTATTTCTTTTTAGGAAAAATGTCAAATTCAATCCCTCTACATAAAAAGCCCTAAATGACCTGTTTCGACATCACTGGCTGTTTAACAGAGGCACGAATGGGTCCATTCCTTTTCAAGGGTAGCACTCACCAGCTGAGGCATCACGAGGTCGGCCACGTAGACAAATGCAGCTCCGATGGTGAAGCCAACAGCCACAGGGAAGAAGGCAAAGGCACCAAAGCCCCCAGAGGACGTGGCCATCTCAACCGCTGGGGCCAGGAGGGACCAGTAGGAGGCTGCTAACATGACCTGCAAAAAAGTGAGCAACAAACTGTCAAACCAACCACAGAAGGCCTCCCAAGTGGGGGCTTCATTGCTCCCTATGGGTCAAGCTGAATGGTACAATTTCACGTGTTAGGCCTTTAATCCTCCATGGTGGGTACCAGCTCAAACCAAAAGCCACATCAGAATTTCTGAAACTAACATTGTAAGTATTCAACCTGGGGTAGAATGGAGTTGACCTTGGAGGATGGAGTCTGATTTGCTGCTATCTAGCCTCTATTTCAATGGTTCTCAACCAGGGTCAATTTTGTCCTCCAGGGGACATCTGGTAATGTCTGGAGACATTTTTGGTAGTCACACTCGGGGCATCTAGTGACTAGAGGCCAGAGATGCTTGTAAACATCTACAACGCATAGCTCTTAACAGCAAAGAATTAAAAAGTCAATAACGCTGTTGAGAAATCCTGTTCTAATTGACTACCTCCAGGACACATTGCTTCGTTAGCGTGAGCATAAGCCATGGCCTGATAAGACAAAGGTCTTCCTTACATTCAGTGGGAAACTCTCTCCCTTCCAGTTTCACATGTTAGCTCTAGCCCTGCTCTCTCGAGCACCAAACATTGTCTTTCTCCTGTGATATGGAATAGCCTTTGAAATATCTGATGAAACCAGGACTCAATGTCAGCTTGGTCTCATCGATTTATGAATCTCTAAAAAGGAAGAAAAGAACTAACATTTATCGATCCCCTACTATTTCCAGGGAACAAGTTTCACCATTTGATATCTTATTTTATCATCACAAAAACCCTGAGAGATAGATATTATTTTCTCTTACTATTTGTAGGTAAAGAAATTGAATCTCAAAGTCATAAGATAATTTACTCAAGGTCACATGGCCAACAAATGGCAGATTCATGGAACCAAACAAGCAGGACCATAGTCACCTTGACGAGGGGACAAAGACAAGCAAAAAAGAGAGAAATGAAGCTGGACCCAGATCCCAGTGAGGTCGATTCAATACAAGAGTCTCCAGTGTTTAGCAAATTGAACACTCATGCACAGTCATTTACTCCTATAGATGCAGTGGCAACTTCCCGGGTGAAGTACACCCACTACCCATCATAACCATACGACAGTCATCACTGGCATGTAAAATGTTGAATGGGTTTCTAAAAGTGACTTAATTATGCCCTGTCTTCAAAAAATACATCTGCATCATCCATCTCCAAAATAACACGAAGAGTGACAGAACCAAGCATTACAAAAGTAACGGGAAAGAACAAATCCGTGCAAAACTGACTTCCCTCCTGCCAGCCATCATCCACACATAGTCAGCGGCTCTGGGCTAGATTTTCCCAGAAAAAGTCTTAGTGCCACTCCTAGACAATTGCAAATGCTTCAGAAACTCCCAAAAGGAATGAAAATGTCTCATCACGTCAGCTCCATGAGACCACTGAAGAAAGCTTATTCACATACAATTTGTCATTTTGAAGTCTGAAATTCAGTGGCACTAATCACCTCCAGAGTGTTGTACAACCCTCACCACTATTTCCAAACTTTTCCCACCATCCCAAACAGAAGTTCCGTTAACTATTAAGCAATGACTCCCCATTTTCCCCTCTCCCCAGGTCCTGGTAACCTCTAGTCTACTCTCCATGTCTATCAATTTTGCCTGTTCTAGGTATTTCATGTAAGTGAAACCATACAGTATTTGTCCTTTTGTGTCTGGATTATTTTACTTAGCATAATGCTTTTGAGATTAATTTGTGTTGTAACATGTGTCAGAATGTCATTCCTTCTTGTGGCTGAATAATACTCCATTTATGAAGCTGTGACTATTTAACTAACCTAAAAAAAATATATAATGTATCCATAACATAGGATGCAAGTAGGGATAAAAGAACCAGATCCTCATCTTCCACACTAGAAAATCATTAGATATGTTTAAAGCCGAAAAAGTCCAGAAGTGCCAAAGTAAGCAATACAGTTGAGACATGTGGAGACAAAAGACAAGAAACAGCTAAAACAGATGCTCACCTTTATCCTGAGAAGCAGAAGTCAGGGGTGGGAAAAGCCAGCAGGCTCCTGGTTTCTGTTATAAACCCACTAGAATAACCTGACTTTTTAAACTATATGTGAATACCTTTGAGGGGAATTTTTAAAGAAACTGAGAATATCATTTGAAAATATATAAAAGTAAATATTATAAGTAAATTTATCATATGACATAATTTTTATTGTTTTAATAATAGGAGATTTTTATTTCACAGTGAAAATTCAATGAGGGAAAATGCTCCTATTTACAACTCAATTCCCAGAAATGTTTCTGCCTGATAGAGATACCCAACTGGACTGTGTGTTTTTGTTAAAGGCACCTATATCAGTCTTGACACCAAAAAATTGAAAAGGAATGGAAGAGACATTTTAAATGAGCAGATAGCACTGGCTGCTGTGACTCAATGGATTGAGTACCACTCTGTGAACTGAAAGGTCACCAGTTCGATTCACAATCACGGCACATGCCTGGGTTGCGGGGCAGATCCCCAGTTGGGGATGTGAGAGAGGCAACAGATTGATGTATCTCTCACACATTGATGTTTCTCTCCCTCTCTTTCTCCCTCCCTTCCCCCCCTCTCAAAATAAATAAATAACATCCTTTTAAAAAAATCTGCAGATATTTGTAAGCTCTGAGAGAAAATCCCCCATTTCCCTTCAGTAATTCACAAAACCTAGCAAAACTCATATGATCCTTTTTCTGAAAATATCATGCAAACTACCACAGGGATCCATACTTTATAATGCTATTACTTTCCCTCTGTGTCAGAGGTACCAGCACAGAATAATCAACAACAATAAGCTAACTCCCTAGCCTACAGCAGGCAAACCTTTTCATTTCTGCTTAAGTGCTCATTTTGGGACCATTTCAGCTCTGAAAATATAAATGAATTGGTGAAGAGTTCCTTAAGGAACACATCAAAATATCTGGCATGATGGGCCAGTTAAGCATTTCTTTTATGACAGTAATGACAGCTCAAAGACTAGAAGGAAATCCGAGCCACAAAATAAAATGCCCCCCTTAATAAAACAGGGAGGGAAAAATACTGCACATCGATCACTTATGATGCACTGAATATCAGCATCCATGTTCAATGACAATGCCTCAGTAGGTAAGGTGCGTGAAAGTCCACAGAAGACAGGAACACAGAGTTCAAAATATCAGCACCCAACCCAAGGTCTGCTCCAGTGGGTCCTCCATCAATGTTTCTTGAAGCAAATGAACATGGACTCTAACCTCAAGGCCACTGTATAATTAAGGAGTCCGCACAAACTTGCAATCCATATAAATCAAGGCAGTAATTACTCTGAAACTACAGAAGCCAAGTAATACATCTAACTCTGTCTCCAAATCAGATATAAAATTAATTTGTAAAAGTCAATTAATAAGTACACAATTAGTGACTATTACACAACCAACATTATGCTGGATCCTAGGGGGCTGAGAGGGAGGAAGAAAGATACAAAAGCTGATCTGGGTCCTGCCTTTGAGGACCTGGCTACATGCCATCATAAGGGAGACTACAGAAGGTGTCTGATATGATAAACAGAGAAGGCATCAGAACTGACAGATGAGTAAGTCTGTGGTCATTCCAAGTAAGGAGATGGCAACATTGTGACAAAATAGAACATCGAAGAAAACACAGTGGAGAACACTTGAAAGTTGAATGTGGTTTGGAAAGGAAAACGAGGTGGGGCCTTCTGGCTGGGAGGTGCCCCAGTGTGAGCAGTCCGGTGAGCAAACCTGCCAAAGCTGATCATGCAGGGTGACGGGCCTGGCTGAAAAGTAAAGTGTGTGCTGGGGTACCATGAGATGGTTGGGTCTAATTAAGAAGGCTGGCAGAATGACTTGGACTTAAGACAGTAAGTGAGTTGTTCACAACTCTGGCTGCACAACCAGAAGCACCTGGAGTTTTTAAAATACCGAAGCCATGGCCCCTCCACAACCTACTGAAACAGGTTCTTCCAGAAACCAAGAGCCTGGCTGCTGGGTTACCGACGTAACCTTCGTGGGAGGTAGGGTAAGGCCTGATAAGAATGGAGGCAGAGGGACAGTGGAGAAGAAAGAAATATGCATGCAACCCTACAGGATGAGGTCACTCATACCCACTCAATATCGAGTCACCTGTCAGAAAGCCTAAGGGGTGACCATAGGAACCGTGCAATGAATCAGCTTTCCACTTTGGCATGTCAAGTATTAGTCATGTCTCAAGCATGAATCAAATTCATATGGGTGCTACCTCTGCACCTAATTTGCCTCCATCAAACAGTCCTTATAATATTCCAACTTCATGAAATTCTATGGAATTAAACCTAACAGCTCAAAATAATAGTCATTTATATTCATCTTCAATTGTCATTATTAATTGATGCAGATCTGCTTAACAACCTGACTCTTGTTAGCTACACCAACCCAGTGAAACTGAGGGGCAGGGGCTTGGCCTACAAGTTTGTACACACTCTCCAAACTGCGAAAGAGCACTTGAGCTTAAAAAAAAAAGTCTGGACTTATGGCCAAGATGCAGGCATAGGTAGACACATGTGCTTCCTCGCACAACAGAAGGAAGGACAACAACAAATTTAAAAACAAAAAACAACCAGAACTGACAGAAAATCTAACGGTATGGAAGTCCAACAACCAAGAAGTTAAAGAAGAAACATTCATCCAGACTGGTAGGAGGGACAGAGATGGGTAGCTGGGTGGAGAGGACTCGTGGCAAGGCCACAGCTGGCAGATCCCCAGTGGATCCCACATTTGCATGCAGATGAACCAGGAGGAACAACTGTGGAGCAAGACAAATGCACAACCCCGGGTTCCAGTGTGAGGAAATAAAGCCTCAAACCTCTGACTGAAAACACTTGTGGGGGTTGAGGTGGCAGGAGAAACTCCCAGCCTCACAGGGTCCTAGAACATACACAAGCCCACCACCTGGGAATTAGCACCAGAAGAGCTGACTTTGATTGTGTGTAGCA